TATGATGTTGTGTAAAAGGCCACCAAACAACTTCTTTACTACGATCCGCCATCTCATCTAATCTATTAAATCTTTCAAAATGCCAAGGGATTTTCCAGAGTTGAATTTCAGAATTTAGAATTTTCCCATACTATATTTGTATATATGTCAAAGGTCATGCTTATACCATTTTTTCCAATTCTTCAATTTCTCTACGATTAACATCACGTAGTTTTCCTTTTTTAAACCGTTTCAATGATTATTTTCCCAATTTGCAATATATTGAAACATTTTAAAGATTTTTAATCTGCAATATATTGAAATATTTTATCTACAATATATTGAAATATTTTAAAGATTTTTGATGTGTAAATTTGCTAACCCAAGCTCCTGTATGATAAACAATAAGGATTACTTTTTGGTAATTGCTTTTTAAGACTAAATTTTCTCATCCTCGTAAAAAGGTCTTTTTGACAAATTTTTCTCAATTAAACTATTACGTATCCGAATTCATAACTGTTATAATTACTACAATTATTCATTCGCTTATACTCATAATACTTGTCATGTTCGATCAGAAAACAATTTCTCTTGAAATAATTTTAGATGACTTTAACGGTATTATGCATGGGAATCCGGAAGAATCTTTAGGATGTAAATTGAAAGGGAAATTGGTTCTCAAAATTCAAAAGACTATTTCTCCAAAACAACTATTGTTTGTATTTGTTGGAAAGTCAACGGTTTCTTGTGGACTTTTAGTGTCTTCTTCAAATCCAGAATGTATTATTAAATTCATTTATTATATACTTTTTTAAAATCTATTAAAATATATAAAAATATTAAAAAAAAAAAATTTTATTCATTTCACTCTTATCAGATCGCGAGTCACATACAATTTATCGAAAGCAATGTGTATTTCATAATTCTCGATCATCAAATAGGAAAATTCCTCCCGGAACTTATGAATATGGTTTCGACTTTGATATTCCTGGTAATTTACCATCTTCATTTAAAGGAGCTCGTGGAAAAATCGAATATTCTTGTAATGCGATCCTTTCTCGCCCATTATTCCATAGCAATATATTGGTAAAAAAACCAGTTATTCTAAAAAGATGTCTTATAAATGATGCAATACCATTATCTAATCTATCAAATTTTGCCGAAGGAGTTTTGGATAGTCGAATTCAATTTCAGATTAGTACTCCGATAATGGCTTTTCGTGAAGGTGGTTTAGTCTCTGCAAAATTAAATTTAAAACCTTTGGATTCGGATTCTTTTATTGAATCTATTGAATATGGATTAAAAGAACAAACTCATTATCATACAACTGAAAGTTACACGAGGACTTTTGTTGCTAGTGTTAAGGAAGATAAATTCCCACTTGGAAAGAAAACAATAAGTTTAGATCAACTATTTCATGATTCTTCCGATCCTATATCTATTGATTTTCGACTTTGCCCTTGGGTTAATTGTGATTTAGATTCTCAATTAATCAATGTTAAACATAAACTTGCAGTAACAATTAAAGTTGTTGGGAATATTTCATCTGATAATTCTACTGATAATGATGACTTGGATTCTCAAGACAATGATTCTACTTCTCATATTGGTCGTAGATTTTCTTCTCCTGCTGGTTCTCCCTCAACCGATCTTAATTCACGACGTAGATCTTTTCGTACTCTCTCTTTATTGCCTCCAAAGTCCAGAACATTCTCTATTTCTAGTTACTTACAGTCACATAAAAAATCTGTACGAAATTCTAGAAATGAACAATTACCTGATAATATTAAATTCTTGAATTTTGAAATCCCTTTAATTATTACTACAAAATCTGATATACCAAGGCAACAAGCTCCTTCTTATAGTTCGGTTGATGAACCACCTGCATATATTTATGCTTCGATGATACCTCCTCCACCCGAATATTGTAATGACACGTATGATTTCGATATCGATATCGATATTGATGAATGATTAATCTTCATTAACCTTTTACCGTTACCACTACTGTATAATTATTATGTATTTTTCTATTTTAACTTGTTATGTACATGTGCCTTTCTTTATAAGGAAGAGTTGAAAAAAGTTGTGCATTGATTATCATTATCAAAAAAAAATTTTTTTTTAAATAAATATATGCGTACATACAAACTTACCGTTGTGTTTTTTTAAAAAAAAAAAAATCAAATAACGATACGTAACGATAATGTATCATCCTACTAGAAATTTTCAAATTTATCAAATCTTTGCTGCAAATACTAATCTTGGAAAAACAATATTTTCTACAGGATTATGTCGTGCATCTGCTTCAAATTTGAAAAATTTTAAAAATAATAATTTAAATAATTTAAATAATAATTTGAATATTAATACTAATAATGGCATTAATGTTAAACAACGTAAAACATATTACCTTAAACCGATACAAACAGGTTATTCGGAATCTATTACTGATGAGAAATTTTTATCGCGTTTTCTGAATCCTGAAATGACTGTTAAAACATCTACTTTGTTTAAATATGAAAAACCATTAAGTCCACATCTTGCCGTAAATAAAAATTTGGTAATTTTTTCATGTTAGTATAAGTATTGTAATATATATATGTGTGTATATTTTTTAAAAAAATTTAATATTTCGGTTTTTTTTTTTTTAACGTTACATTAGGTGCCTAAAGATGATGATGTATTACTAGCTACAAAAAAGTATATAATTGAATGCGCGATCGATTCTAGTCTCGATGAAGGAACATTATTTTTAGAAACAGCAGGGGGTAATCTTTGTGCTTGATTATCATTCAAACATGGATAAATTTATTATTTTTATAATTAATTAACTAAAAAAAAAAAATAATTAATAAATAAGGAGTGGCTAGTCCGATTATGTCTGGTAATTTTTAAATGTTTGATCCTTTGATGAATTCGGAAAAAAAGGAAATTTAGCTTTACCAAAATTAAAAAATATTAAAATTTATAATTTATTTTATTTATTTTATTTATCTTATTTATTTTATAATTTTAGGAACTATTCAATCCGAATTTTATAGACCTCTCCGTCTTCCAACAATTTTAATCGGTGATAGTAAACTAGGTGGAATATCAACTACAATTTCTTCCTTTGAATCCTTACGTTTACGTGGATATGATATACCAATAGTATTATTATTCGATAACTCTCAATACCAAAATCATACATTTCTACAAAATTATTTTCAAAAAAATTTCAACAACAGAAATTACAATTATAACAAAAACGATAATAATAATATTTCGATAAAAATTATCCCTCCTCCACCTAAACAATCTTTAAACAAAGATGATGATATTCATCAATTGAAGAAATATTTTGGTGATCTTGATGAAGAGTTTAGTAATGTCTTGAAAATTTTGGAAAATTGGCATTATGAAAGATTTAATAGATTAGATGAGATGGCGGATCGTAGTAAAGAAGTTGTTTGGTGGCCTTTTACACAACATCATA